ACGTTCCTACTCGGGTACACCTAGCATTTGGGCTCTTCTACGGTAAGGCGTAGTTTGCTTGGGGAGGGGGAGGTGCACCTTGAATTCAGAGGCTGTCGGGATAACGTACGCGTGTTTTGTGTTGAAATCTCCAGTTCTAGCTGTGCTGCGGGGAGGGTTGTGCTGCGAGTTTCCTAATTGCTTGTTTTCCTCTCTACTTCTGAGGAGCCAGGAGCTATTAATAGATTGAAATTTGTGAGGTCTGATGTAGCTTCCAGAGGCAAGTGTTTAATAGGCTCATTACCACCACGTATTGCCAAAATGTTCTAGTTCTGGTTCTCTTATAACCATATTGGGGAATGCCCTTGGGACCAATTGTGTTTGGTTATTGCTGAGGTTGATTCATCTCAGATTTCAGTTCTCATTTTCATTTTTTAGTTTTACTTTGAGAGAGGGTCTCAATAGATAAGACTGGCCTCTAATTGTTGTGCCTCCTGCCTCAGCCTCCCTAGTCACTGTTTACAGGCATGCGTCAGCATGGCCAGGGTCCTTTTACTTTTAAAATCTAGGCATGATTGTGGTACTTCTATACACACATACACTATGCCATGATCAATCAGAGTAACATATCTATGACTTTAATACCTCCATTTCCTTGAGACCTTGAAAATCCCCTCTTAGCTATATTGAAACACACATTCTTGGTGACTGAGCTTAGTCCACCTAGCTAATTGTAACTTTATTGACTGACCTCTGTCCATCCTGCTCTCCCCTCTTCCTCCCCAGTCTCTGGTAACCACAGATCCATTTTTGCCGGGACAACAGTAGCTTTTAGGCTGCACGCACGACCATATCACCCTTGTCTTTCTGTTTCTGGCTTATTTAACATGATGTCCTCCATTTCCATCTATGCTGCAAATGAAACGATTCCATACTTTAAAAAATATATTTAGTCATAGATGGACACAATATCTTTTTATGTGGTGCTGAGGATCAAACCCAGGGCCTCAAATATGCGAGGCAGGCGCTCTACCTCTGAGCTATAGCCCCAGCCCCCGATCTCATTCTTTTCAATGGCTGAAGAGTATTCCATGGCATGTGTAGTGCATTTTCTGGATCCTTCCACCTGCTGACGGACACTTGGGTTGGCTGCATCTCTTGGCTCTTGTGAGCAGTGCTGCGGTAGACACGAAGGTGCAGATGTCTCTTTGACAGACTGGTTTCATGTCCATTGGATTGTTCCCAGCAGTGGGAATACTGGGTCATGTGCATTTTTAATTATTTTGAGGAACCTCCATTATTTTCCACGGTGGCTTTACTAACTTGCATCCTACCAACAACACGTGGGGTCCCCTTTCACTGCATCCTTGCCGACACTTGTTCCCCTTTGTCTTTTGGACAGTAGCTGTTCTGACTTCACCCTAGACTCTGGGGCCAAGGAGGCCTTGCTGTCCAGGGAGACAGGAGTGAAACCTGGTCTTCTTGAAGGCTGTGGGTGGCAGAAGGGGTAGTTTGATCTGGGGCCAGTGCCGTCCGCCTGGGACAGCATCAGCTTGCCCTGGGGCTCTGGGGAAACCCCTGTAGCTTGATGGGTCTGGGCTTTTCCATCTGTTAAGTGAAGTGCTTGGACTTCAGTCGTCTCTGAAAGTCCCCCTCAACACTAGAAGGGTCTGCGATTCTGTCAGTGGACCTTTCAGTGGGTTGTCCTCGAAGTCGTGGAAATCCTGTGTCAACCTCTCTCCACACCCGGAAAAAAAAACTGCATCATTTTCAATAATTAGCCAGCGTTCGCCACGGGGGTGAAGGCATTTGAGTGTGAGTCTGTATTGTACTTATTTTGGAAAGTCAGTCGCTGTAAAATCCAGGCAGGAGACTCGGAAACGAGTGTTGAATCACTTCCTGATCACGCGTTCAGGTTTCCCCGCCCCCGTCACCTCCTTCATGAGCGAGGGTGACGTGGAACTTACTCGGGAGCCAGTCTTGTGCATCCGCTCTGAGATGGCTCTGCAGGTGGTGTGGCACCCAGAGAACCCGTCCTGGGTGGTGACGAGGTCTGGACACCAAGAGGGGCAGGGGTCCCGGAAGAGGGAAGCCCGGGGTGGGCCAGGAGGGGCGTGTTGGTGTAGCAGGCTCAGGGACAGGGTCCAAGCTGGCAGTGAGTCACCACCCTGTTCCTGCCAGCTGCTGGGCTGGCATGGTCACCATATCGACTCCTGTGATTGATCCTACGGCACCGTCCCTGGCGTCATCTTGAGTTGGCCAGGCTCGGCTGTGGGGAGAGGTGGTTTTCAGACTTTCCAGGGCTGCCTCGATAGCAAGGGCAGAGCCGAGACTCGAGTGTGGACCCGATTCTGAACACTGCCCTTTATTAGTGTAGACGTGGACTGGGGCGAAGGTGGAAGATGCTGGGAAGAAAGGACGTCCGAGAGGGGTCTTGGCACTCTGGCATTGTCACAGTGGAGCTATTGACCAGGCAGAGGTGGCGGGGGGGGCTCGGCATCCCCCGGGGCAGTGGACGGTCTGCACAGGGTTGTCGGCCCTTCTTGCTCGCTCTCCTTCCTTCCTTTGTTAGGATTCACATGACCTAAAGTTAACTGTTCCAAGGTTCCCAACTCGGTGGCATTTAGAACGTGTACCATGTTGCCCAAGCTCCACTCCCGTCGACTTCCAAACGTCTCCGTCACACCCAAGGACACCCATGCCATCAGGCAGCTGTGCCCCTTCCCACAGCCGCTGTCCCGACAGGCAGCAGGTTGCTCTCTGGTTCATCTACTCGGGGTATTTTATATAAACGGGATCAACCCTGCGGTGAGTTGGCACGTCTTCCCTTTGCCTGTGAGCCCCATGCAGGTGACCCAGGACCATCCCCCCATCTCGGTGGTGTTCCTAATTGAATCAAGCCAGCGGATCCCCTTTTGGTGTGGGAGATGAAGTACTCACAGGTTTTGGGCGTCAGAACCTGGTCATCTCGTCTACCAAATATACCCTCTTCAATGCCTTTTGGGGGGGCCCCTCCTGTCATTTGACAGCCCAACAGCATTTCCAGGTGGTGGTTTGGTCAGTTTAGGTGAGGCAGGAGGCTGAGGGAAAGAAAGGAAGGAAATCCAACTGGGTCCTGGTTTTGACCAGAAAGGTAAAGAACCGTGATTCCCAAGGATGGGGTCACCTGCATCATCTGGGGCTGGAAGCATCCTAGATTCCAACATGCCGCCCCCTCCCCTTAGAGGCACATCCCTAAGGGGTGCCATGGAATAGAACTGTCCGTGAGAACCTCGCGTGTTCCTCTGTGTAGGGGCAGGAGGAGGCACGGGTCTCGGTGATATGGGGGAACAGAAAGGAGACCCAGAAGATGCTGGACTTGGTATTGACAAGAGGGTGAGCAGAATCTGGGGACCTAAGTGACATAAGGGTGCTGTGGCATCATGGGAGGGGGGAGGGAGCTGAGGGAGAGTGACTTCTCCTGGATCCCCTGGCTTCAGGGTTGATGAAGGGGACTGTACGGGAGGCCCTCGGACATGCAAGGAGAGGAGTCGGTGGGTCCAGTTTAAAGAGAAACGAGGACTTCTCTCTCCCTGTCCCCTGGGCAGGCCAGGCCCTCTTTGAAGGGGAACGACCAAGGTTGGTTTCTAAAGCCAGCAAGACAATTCTGGAAGAGAGCTGAATTGGGTGCCCAGGGAGGGGGTGCCCTCTGTCGTTTGCATTCTTTCTGGGTGTTTTGGAGGTCCATGTCACTTTCTCAGGGTGGCACTGAGACTTGCGGGGAGAATTTGGCTCAGCACCCCTGGTTGAGAACCACTGAACAGGCTTCATGTGAATGGCGCTGGCAGGAGGAAATTCAGATTGCTGTATGGATTTGCCCTTTACTGCTGCCACCGTGATACCTGGTTCTGTCACTCTGTCATTTTGGAGATGGTGATGCAGGTGTTTTTTTAAGGCAAGGTATAATTAAGCAATTTTTAGAAACCCATTCAGCAGAGCATTCCACGGGTTGGTGGTGCCAGTCGTACAGCTGCTATGGGAGGCGGGGGTACTCCAGCCATGAAGATGTCACAGCATCTATAAACGGCCACGGTGGTGGCTTTAACTTGATCAGCACTGGGGACCCTTTGAAATTACCTTGCTAGTCCTCCTTGGTCGGCTCCCCAGCTCTGTTCCTTGTTGCCCACATGAAAAAAGGAGCAAACTGCCTTAAATTATTTGAGATTCAGTTTCCCCTATCGACAAATAGCAATAGGGGACAGCATCTACCTCCTGGCGTTTGTTGCCATAAGATATCAACATGAGCCTTGGTTTCTGGAAATAGTAGGCGATCAATAAATATTAGTTCCTCGCTTGTTTTTTTTTTTTTAACAGATAAGAAAATTGATGAGGCCAATATGACATTAATTTACTGCTGGTCTTCAAATATTTCAAAGCTGTTGCATATTGCAGAGGAAAGGCACCTTCTTTGGTGCTCCAGGGAGCAGAAAAACAGAGCTAATAGGGAGCAATGAAAGGGAGACGGATTTCAGTTCCACATAAGGAAGAACTCGGAATAATTTACAGCTGGATCATAACGCAGTGACGCTCCTGAAGTAATGAGCAATTCGTCTTAGAAGTATTCAATTAGAACAGGATTCCTTGACGCTGTTACTGACATTTGGGGATAAATAATTCTTTGTTTGGGGACTGAGCTTTGTGCTGTGGCGTATTTACCAGCACCTGTGGCTCTGTGCCCTAGATACCAGTAACCTCCCCTCCCCTGCCCTCCCAGTGCGGCGACTGGAAATGTCTCTAGACATTGTGAGATGTCCCTTAGAGTCCAGCAGCACCCCTGGTTGAGAACCACCGAATAGGCGGCACCCTCCCTGCATCACCCCTTCTTGCCACATCAAGGCTAGGAGTCTCCTTGGTTAGGGTAGTCCCCGCCACCTGGGATTGAAGGCCTAACACACGTGAGATGGGCGGGTTTGGCTGGGGCCAGACGGGCAGGTGAGTTTCGGGGCTGGTTTAACGGCTCACTGCTTATTGTGGTTCTGCAGGTCATGCTAGCAGCCTCCTACTGGTCTCTCCTGGCCCCAGCGGTGGAGATGGCCACGTCCTCTGGGGGCTTTGGGGCCTTCGCCTTCTTCCCGGTGGCCGTGGGTTTCACGCTCGGAGCGGCTTTCGTCTTCCTGGCCGACCTCCTGATGCCTCACCTGGTAAGTACCACCCTCAGATGATGGGGTCGGTGCGTCGAGCTTGGCGCACTGGAGTTACTTCTGTTCCACCTCAATATACCCCATGACCCCTCTGCCATGTGGCCCGTGGGGTCGGAACAGATAGCCAGGCCTTGGAGGGACTGAATGGTGATGTCCTTCTTGGAGAAAACACTCTTGGTAACATGACGAATCACCCCCTTGTGTACATTTTGGTAGGTTCAGATTTTGAATGTCACTCTGGTAAAAACCGTGGCCGCTGCCGTGCTGTGGCATGTGTGTGAGATGCGTTCACCAGTGGACCTGAACCTGAGGAGGGAATTGCCTCTTTGCGGTCCTGGCCCCTGGTGAGCTTGTGATGTCATCGGGGAGAGGACAGTACCCCCAGCTATAGCGCTAAGACTTTGGTAACATGTCACGTCGGGCTCTGGGCTTAGCTGTGCCACCCACTGCTCGTTGTTCCTGTGATTTGAGGGTAACTCCATGGAGGGATTGGGAGCTCAAATATTTTCCAAAAAAATTAAAAAGATGCTTTTTTTTTTTTTTTTAAATACTTGCTGAAATAGGACTGGTGAGTTGGGTTTGGAGAGGGCTTGCCCTGGCTTGTAGGAGAGCCTGCACTGCTCAGCAGGGGGGCCAAGGCCAGGCCCTGCCTCGGGATGGCAGGCCATTGGCTAGAACCCCACAGCCACACGGGCGCTGCCAGTCTAGACGTGGATTCGATAGTCACTTCAGGTAGGCACATGCAGCCTTCTAGACACTG